ACCGTAATCTATGGTTTGGACTATGAAGTTATTGCCACTAAAGTTTGAGAGAGAGAGTGTGGTTTGAAGGGTCTGGTTGTTGCATGAGAGGTCAAACCCTGCATACCCACAACGCCGGAGTTGAAATCTCTGAAGCCGGAAAGGGAACCGCACTGTCGGTCCTCGCGGGCAGCTTGAGGGAGGGCAGGAAGCCTGTGTTGGAATGATAAAGAAGAAGATCAACAAGAGTAAGAATGAGAAGAAGAGCTCTAAGGCAGCCATTTGATAGTGAAAACTAGAAATGAGCTGTTTGGTGAGGGTTTGAGCTAGTTAGGCATAGAGTGGTTCATAGCTAACCTCGACATTTTTATGATGAATTATTGTGAAAAGAAAATGTAAATGGTTTGACATTATAGTTGGGCTGGAGACCTCGTGACGTGCATGTGGGGGTGGAATCGGGGCGAATGTCATCGCCTTCAGACTTGTTTTCTTTTGGATACTAAATTTGGGTGGCATGGCATAATGGAAGAAGTCAGCGTTTGATACAAGAAGAAAACTGTTGGGTCTATGAAGGCTTTTTGAATGTGGCTTCAAACTCACATCACATGGGGTGAGATGAGGGAGTCTAATCATGGTTTGGGGCTTTTAACAAGTTTACAGTTTGTTTACCAAGACCATCTGAATCTTCTAAATTTAATTCATCAAACATTATTTTTATTTTTATTAACCCATTTGACAAGACCAAGTCTACTTTTGAACAATTTCTAGAGAATATATGACCTAGGCTGGAAATTAAGATAAGAGTCACATCCTATAGTCCACTGATTCTATGCATACTTTTCAGAGAAACCCAACAAATAATGTCAAAACTAAATTAATTTCAAATAATAATAATAATAATATCGATTATATATTTACATGAATGACTCACAATCGTTAATTACATAAACTTCGAACTAGATCTCACATCGAATAACGGTTTATAATCACTTATATATTCTTACTCTTTGTTCCCCTTATAAAATATCTTGATGACTTTTTGTTCCCCTCACCGTCTTCTTTAATCCAGGCACCATTATATTGCACGTCAGCTTTTTAGAATAGTATGTTTGTTAAAGTTTATCTGATTCCGACCAAAAAGAAAATATGAACTCTGTAATTAATCAAGATTTCGACCAGTGCTTGGCTTAATTAATTTTTAAAGGGCAGTGAGATAGACGTCAGTAATAAAGAATCAAAAGAAAAGAAAATATGGCGCTGAAACACTACATAATAAAACCAAAAAATATTCATATACCATTGACAAAAACACAATAATTTACGATAAATTGATATTTAATTATGTTTGGTTGGAAAAGATTTTCACGTCACTAACTGATGTGAAACACGATATGAACTTCCAAGTCATATACCCACTACTAGAAAATCTTATTATAAGTCACACTAACAGATAACCTATGGCCTATATCCATGTTTGTTATAAATAATTCGTATCGTGATTAAAGGGTGTTGGCCACCACAGATTGACCACATAACCCAAAATTGTGCTAGTTGTGGTTGTTGCCATTAACTTTCGATACTAACATCACCTACTTTATTTACTTAAAATTTGACGCTTGAAGCCTTATATATCCAAAAATAGCCGTGAACTACTGACGAAGCACCATAGAAGCCGATCGATGATGTTGTGACGGTTGACGGTGGGGCATCTCATGGGTACGATATAACAATGATGGAGGCTATGATCAGCGGTTAGGCATATTGATTAAAGTGAGGATCGTTTGAGTTGCAAGAAGAAAAGATGATGTGGTAGGATTGAATTTTTAAGTAATTAAATTATATGATGTGGAATATGATTTGGAAAGACACGTGCTGGATCACGGTGTATATAAGTTGGTGTCCATAAAATTATTGTATAAAAAATGTATCGAGAATATTTATTCTATGATACTTAAGCAAGATCTAGAAATTCAGAAGTCACTTTTAGCTCAAATCCGTACGAATAACATGACAAAATGCATTCCTAAAAGTAGTAATAATGCCTCTGAGGCATTGCAGCAGCAACTAAACAAAGTGCAGCAGAAGATACCCACAAGTACAGCAGCAAGGACTACAACCGCAACAATCGCATGTGAGATCAAAGTTGCGATCATATCCACAACTAGAATCTTGGTGTCCGTTTAGACGAAACGAGAATCAAATAACCTGCAAATTGGCGCCGCAACTTATGTCCTCACAAATTTAGAATATCAACACTTGTCGCTATGTGTGGAAGAAAACTAAACAAGGAAGTTGTTATAATACACAGCTCTAATATCATAGCCATGTTTGATGTGCTAATTGTTCGAGAGAGAGAGTGAGGTTATGTTTGTACCATATTTTGTAAATGGACCGAAAAATGTTCTATTTCTCAAAAGAATATATTTTGAAGTCTAGGCCCAATATCCTTTTCTATTCTTTAAAAGACAAAAGAAACCCTCTTGCTTAGTGGGCCGTCAATAAGCAAGGGAAATTAATAGAAGCCCACAAGTCAGAAAGCCCAGGTCTTTGAGTCGCACTGAAGTTAAAAAAATCGGTAATCGTTGCACATTGACCCACGTGAGGGTCTGAAGAAGATTGTCACAATTAATGACGACTTGACCTTTTTCTCACCCAACAAGAAAGCAAACTGGACAAAAGCCACCATAACCAGAGGGAGTCGAATTGCCAACTAGATTTTCGGGTACAAAGGACTCATGTCATGGGAATATCGCAAGAGACCAGCGGTTTTGTTAGAAGCATCTCATCATCCCACCTATGAACCGGTCAAGATCAATAGATCAGCAGCTGACTTTGGATAGCAGCCAAATATCCTCTTTCAACTTTCATCATTGAAGTTTTGCCTATAAATAAAGAGCCTTTACCACAGAAGAAAAGGACTCTCTCTCCAAATTAGACTCAACATCTCGAAAACACTTGAAAAAACTCAAGGTCTTTTCAAACTAACCTGCTTAATTTCCAGATAACTAGTTGACAACTCATGCGTTCATCTTTTGTTGCTCTGCCATCTTCATGGTATGATTTTCTTTTAAATGATTAGTTTGAATTCATGTATCCTTCTAACTGGATAGAGAAATCTCCAGTTCTTCTTTGCATTGTAATTTATATTTCGAATTAGTTAAATGGATAAATTTCGAACTCTCATCTTCCTTTTGCTATCAAGTTAAAATCAAATAAAGAGATTTTGGAATATACCTTGACTGTTTCATTAAACATTTGTTGTTTAATCGCTTTAATATATTTAAATGTTTTGGTAGATTAATTTAATTTCCCTTCCTTATCACTCGGACCTAAGATAAAGGTCTAGGCCCGAATAGGGCTATATTAATCCAAAAATAGAAGGTTGATTTGGGCCCGAGTTACTCTGTTGGGCCTGAAATTGACTGGAATATTGACCCTATCTAAGGGTCAATTGAATTTGAACTAGGTTTCTAAACCCAAATAGGGTATCATTAACCACGATCTTGGTTTCCTCCTTGTTTGATTAGGTATTGCTCGTATTTGTCAAACTGACACACACAAATGAAAGAATATTGAAGTCCTTTTAGTTGAGGCATAAAAAAGAACTTATCCAGGCCATACCCCCTTAAAGCATAGCTTGAGTAGAGGTCCAGAACAATTGCAAACACAACAAATCAACACACCACACTACTGACACCATGTCTATTGGGTTGGTTTCATACCTAATAGTGGCATGCCTACACGATTCCTGAATCAGGACAGAGGGAGCAAACCAACAAGGCTCGGCCTGAGCTCGCCGCTCCTATCAACCTGATTCAACTTTCAATTTTGTTCGGAAGTTGAGAGAATCCTCTCCGCAGGCCAAGAAGATCCAATCGGGGCATTGGTGTTGATCCAACGAAATTGACCTAGAGGATCAAATTTCTCGAATCAATTACGTAATCATATTTTAATGACACATTATGTAATTAGTGGTGTGTAAAAAATAATTTGTAAAGGCCAATATGAGCGAATCTAGTAGTGATATTTGTAAAAATATACTGATTTAACTAATATGTGGGAGATCAATTAAAGTTGATTATGCTAGGTAAATTTATCAAAAATGATACTCCAATCTTATACATCAAATAAAATAAAATAAAATAATAAAAAATAAAAAAGAACACTAGTTTGTAAATTATATTTCCAGCCAACCTACTTCCAAGCCCAGCTCAGTCCAACAAATAAAACCTTTTTTTTTTTTTTTTGTGGAGAAAAATCCATAAAACAATTTTAAATGATTTTTAGTTAACTGTAGTCGTTTTTGGTCCCTATAATTTGCCACTTTTACCATTTTATTTTGGGACCAAAATGCCCCTTCACAATTAACAGAAGTTATATTTTGACAGAAATTGGAATTTGTCCTTGAATTGCTTAAATTGAAAATCATAGAGACAAAATTAATCAAATTAAAACAACAAATACCAAAATGATAAAAATGACAAATTACAAGGACCAAAATCACTTTTTACCTTTCATTTAACACATTTCTCATCTCACGTTGTCCAATCTCATATGATTTTGTCATTTCATCTAAAAAGTAAAAATTTAACAGTTAAAATATATTTTTAAAAGTCAAGTAAAGAAAAAGAAAATAAATTATACATGTGTATTATTGAAGGAAAATACTAAAAAAATTAATATAAATTTATAAATAAACTCAATTCTAGACATGTATTTATAAAAAAACCCAAGCACTATTTAAACATAGAAACACACCCAAAATTAATCCCAAAGTCAACTTTTTGGGTGTGTTTATAAATGGGTTTTGAGTGTGTGTAATGATGAATTTTGGATGTGTTTATATGTTTAAATAGTGCTTTGATTTTTTTATAATTTCAACCTCCATTTTGGGTGTTTTAGTGAAACCCCCAAAAAATAAAGAAGCCATTGTAGGAGCAAAGCAAAAATATTCGCATTTGGATTGGAGGGAACGGAATTTAGTCATTTGATCTGTGAACTCACCCCTCAATAGGGGCTCAATATGGCGGGAAAATGTCCTTACAGTCCTTACCACATATAATATCCCTAGCCCTCTGCCTCTTCTCTCTCTCTCTCTTCGAACCCCTCTCTTCTGCTTCAATCTCACACCCACATCGTCATTCTCGTCTACGTCTGAGTGCCCTAAGACACCTGCCCCAACAAATTGGTACTTTTTCTCGAAAACTCACTTCCCCATTTCGTCTAGGGTTTACTGTTCTAGGTTGTATTCTTTCCTTACTTGCAATTGTTGATTAATTTCTTGACTGAAATTTTTGTTTTTCAAATTGGGTTTTGGGTACAGAGGTTTTGCGCTGAAGCAAATTGATTGTCTTTGTGCAGATGGACAGTGCGTTTGAGGATGAGGCTGAACACACCGTTTCAATCCAAGAGTATCTCAAGGATGTTGAGGATCAGGAACTGGTTTGCCTCTTTTTATCATAATCAGTTACCAATTTGTCCAAAGTGTTTTACTTTTGTAAGATGTCAGTGAAATTAAATGGGTTAAAATGTTGCATTTTACCATTTATGGTGTTTTGAAGACAATACTAGGTTTAATCTTGAACAGAGTTGTTATAATGAGCTAAGCAGGTTTTAAATGGATAAGCAATCCATTCTAGGTTCGATTGGCTTAAGGGTTATGTAACTTCTCTGCGATTGAGTTGTCCTTTCAAGATTGAAGATTTCGTGAATATACATGCTTGCTTGGTTGGACAGCTAACTTCATGCTTAACAATATTTAAGATATTTCTTGTAACAGAAAAATTAGTAAATGTTGAAAGTGCGAATATGAAAAGAAAATAAATTTTGCAAGTGGGGATTAAGTTGTAAAGAATTACTACTTCTGGGGTTGTAAACAAGCCCAAATAAGGTAAAGTTAGTAGTCTGAAAGCTTTTTGAGAGTTTGAGTTAGGCACAACTACCCTGGACTGGCTCACAAGTCCTGATTAAGTTAACAAAGGTCATGATTGGTCCTCTTGCACACAGAAGATTGAGCTCAGCTCATTCAAAATGTATTTAATTGTTCAACTGGCCGAAGGGTTGGTGACCAAATATTTGATTTTTTGAGGGATGGCAGAAGATCTGAGGAAGGATTAAATCAAATAGTGATGGATTGTGAAAATGAAACATAGATTAATAGTTCGTCTTTGGGGAACTCTATTCCTAATTCCAGAATTCCCAGTTCTTCTACTTTTTTCAGACTGATTAATTTGATGTTTAGTCTTGTCCCATTTAACTAATCAGCTTTAAAACAATGTCTTGTTTATACATTTGTTTAATCAATGAACCAAGCCAAATCTTTTGAGGAGCAGGAGCAATTATCTTCTGGGACTGCTTGATCCGCCTTCATAATCTTAAATTTGAAAAGAGTATTACAGACTTCAAATAAAACGTTACTATTGCTTTCTAGTTATTTCCTACTTTTTGGTGTTTGATCATTCATAGGAAGCTGATTTGGTTTTGGGAGGCGATGAAGGCAAGGAGTGTACCTACAATAATGGTTATATGAAGAGGCAAGCAATTTTCTCATGCTTGACTTGCACCCCGGACGGGAATGCTGGGGTTTGCACAGCTTGCAGCTTGTCTTGCCATGATGGCCATGAGGTATTTTGATATTCTTACCAATGGTAAATATTTATGTTAAGTTAATCAAATAAGGCTTTGCAATTTTTGTTTTCATTTCTTATATCACTTATTCAGTGGTCTATGTTCTTTTGGGTTCTGGTATTCTTGGTGTGTTATTTCTACTGCTTTGAATGTTTTATACTTTTTCAAGTTTGTTATGTCTTGATGTATTAGTGCCTAAATCTAATGATGGCCTTTCTTATTACTTGGAGAAGATTGTAGAACTATGGACCAAGAGAAATTTTAGATGTGATTGTGGAAATTCAAAATTTGGAGAATTCTTCTGCAAGCTTTTTCCAAATAAAGATGTGGAAAATGTTGAGAATTCGTACAACCATAATTTCAAGGGTTCATACTGCACCTGCGGTCGCCCCTATCCTGATCCCGATGTTGAAGACCAAGTAGAGATGATACAGTGCTGTGTGTGTGAGGACTGGTTCCATGAGGAACATATCGGCCTTGACTCTTCTGATGAGGTTGGTAGCTTGGGCTATTTACATATTTGACATGTTTTATACTCCTTTTGTTTCCTTTTGTAGGCGATATATCTACATCATGTTTTCTCCTACTATTAGGCAAGGCATGTTTCCTATCCAAGTGGTGTAATTTATACAATGGTACTGGGTTTTGGGTCATGCTGTCAGTTTGAACGGCCAGTATTTATGATGAGTCTTACAATTTCTCACCTTTTGTGCTGATTAATCGTCATCGGTAACAGCAAATCAAATATTTTAGGGCCCATTGTATACTGCTGCTGCTTGTATTTTAGCTATGATATCAGTTCAGGGGGTATACTCTGATGCTGTTCCTTATCAGTTGGTAATGGCTTTCCATCAGTTTGGAGGAAAGTTGATCAACGTAATGATAATTTTAATATAGTTGTACTAGATTGCTAAATCCTCACTTTGAAGTACTTTAGCCACTCTAAATCTTGAAGGTAGTCTTCCTGCTTTTGTAATAAGGATTTTAGATCTTTTGTGAGAATTTGAAATTTAGTATGAAGACTTATCTTACTATTTTTATAGGGTTAGAGTTTACATTTACTTGTAAAAAAGAAATTATCTTTGATCTCTCTCAATTGCGACGATCACATCTAAACTTTTCCAATTTTTAATGGTTGATGTTCTATCCAAGAACCCTGCTTACATTTTACTTGTCCTTGATTGTACTACAGATTCCAAGAGACGAGGAAGGTGAACCTCTATATGAGGATTTTATATGTAAGGGATGCTCTGTAATTTGCTCTTTTTTAAGGCTATATAGTCAAACCATCTTGGCAGCAGGAAGCCAAAAATATTCTTCCGTTAATACTGGCAAGGATAAAGAAGTTTTGGGAGATGTGACTTTAGCTTGTGGATCTGGAAAGCTGGAGAATGATATTTCTCATAGTTCTAATAACATTTCTGAACCTGTGTCTGGTGAGGAGGGTTTGCTCGTTGGAGAAAATTCTGGGAAAAATATAGGTTCTGATCAATGCACGACAGATGCCAATTCACAAGTTACTTGTGTTCTTGGAGTTAATCTGGTGGATGCTTCCCCTGTTTTAGAGTGTAAGCCATTGTTTCTATCAAAAAACTGGAGGGATGCACTCTGCAGGTGTGAAAAGTGCAGTGAATTTTATGAACAGAAGCATATCAGGTTTTTGCTTGACAAGGAAGACACGATTATGGAGTATGAGAAAATGGCAAAGCAGAAGAGAGAAGAAAAATTGCAGCAACAGGAGGGGGCTGAGTTGACTATGCTCGATAAACTTGGCCATGTAGAGAAAATAGAGATTCTGAATGGCATTGCAGACATGAAAGATGAGCTTCGTTCTTTCCTGGTATGTCCTTGATGATTATAAACTTTAATATTTTTCTGTGCAGTGCTTATATAATCTTAAATCATGTAAGAGACCATTTTAGAGTATGCCCTTTTATAAATACGCGATTTTAAGTTGTGCTCAAATGTAAGCTGCACAATTTTGCAGGAATCATTTGATCCATCAAAGGCAATCACGTCTGATGATGTCCACCAGGTTTTTGAGAATCTAGCAAAGAAGCGCAGGCGTGTAGAGTAAGTTATTACTGCATCTTTGCTGTGTTAACGTTATTAACCTTCTATGTTTGCTTTTGGAGTTACTTTCGGTTTCAGTAACAGTATTAAAAGCCTTTGCACATCTAGGCTGTTCTAAGTTTGAATGTTCTACTAGTGTCAATGTTACTACCTTGCAGACTTATATCTTAACCTTATGACAATAATTTGAGGTTCTTATGTTCATTTGCTCGACATGAAATGTTTCTATAAGCGACTAGATCATACAATTCTGTATTATTATGTTGCAATCTATGAGGACAAGGTACATGTGTACGTGCTTTCAAAACGTTATGATGTAAGAAAAAGGAACAGTTCGGATTATGAGTTGACGTTGTGGAGCGGGTTCAAACGAGCAGTTAGCGTTTGAGCGCACCTACACAAACAATAAACTCAAATCTGCTGTGAGACTAGATGTTGATTTGTTCCATGGTCTTAATAATTTAAAGCTTGTTTGGCACTTAAGTATTTGGTGGGGCTGAGTAAATCTTGGGGCCATGATTTTCTGATTCACAAATAAATATCCCCATATGAAATGCAGATTTGTCAACACTCTTTAACAGGAGGGGACAAAAGTAGGTTTGGCTTTGGTTTTTAGCCCTCCCTTGGGGACGGAAAATGATTGTATTCATTTGTTTTACAGTTGATCGAGTCTATCCAAAATTAAAAAAGTAGCCATTATCCTACCTAAACTTTGGAGACTGTCGAGTGAGAGGACTAATGTACCGCTGATTAGTGAGAGGACTAATCAAGTATATATTTCATTGAAGATTTGTATAACTTATAGTTTTTTCGGTTGTTAAAAGTGATCTAATTATATTAAACTATTATCATTAGTCGTATAAAAATTCAAACTCACCTTGTATTTTAAACAAGTCAAGATTTTCTCTACGTTTCTTCTGTGCATAGGGTTTTTGTTTTCTTGGGGTGCCATGTGTTTTCGTCATTGGTCGTCATGATGACTTCAACACACCCCCTATTTTTCTTGATTACCAATTATTCAAAACGTAAGCATTCCATCTATTTTTCTTAATAATATTAGAGTCGTGATTGTTAACAAAACAAAACATCTAAATTGTCAAAATTAAAATGGCATGTATCAAATTGTAGGGACCAAGATTGTAATTTGGCCAACATGTTAATGTTTTTCATTTGGGCTATTTACATAATTGGGGTTTCAACTTTCAAGGCTAGTAGATTCTCCAAAGGGGAGGGGGAATGATTCGCGCATTGCATTGCAATTGTAACACATGTTCTATGCGGGGGCTCTCACAAAAGAATTAGATCGCTAAGATTTCTTTTCAAATTTGTGGCGGCTTTCAAAATAGACAAAGATCTAATCAATTTAACAGAAAATCAACCTTTTTACAGTTGTAAATAAGATTAGTCGATGCTTTATAATAATAAACCTTAATTACAGTCCTTAGTTTGCTTTACAAAAAAAATATGGAAAAGGGCTCATGATATTTGTGTTCATACCTCTTTTTAAAGAAGAAAAAGCTTGGGTCCTAAACTTTTGCAGACCTAAAGTAATAAAAGTGCTTATTAGGTTGGATTTTAATTAAAAAGTGATCAATCATTAAAACAAAATAGAAAATTAGTCACTCTCTAAAGTGAGTGATCTCTAAAAAGAACCATATATCGCCATAAAAGTATATGCTTCAATTCTGGAGGGCAGATGTTTTCAACCACAAGCCCCTTTCTCTTGACCCTATGTTTTCAATTCAATTGTAAAAACCAAATCTCAAAGTTTCATTGGTGTGCCCTTTCGATTTTCTTCTCCTGCTTTTGAACTTCAATCTCTTTCACCCAAAATTAAATTTTTTTTCTTTAAAGTTGCATTCCACTTTGAAAATAAATATATGAAGTAGGTAAAATTCGTAGACATTTTATACGTAAATTATGGCACATTC